TCAAAAATTGACAGAGAACAATGTTAAGGTATTGAGTGTCAAATGCGACGCTTTTGTCGTGGACTGTTCGGGTTTTAATAAGTTTGGTTTGAGAAAGACTCAGCAGTTGCTAGATTTTCACGATGGGATCGGTGGGTGGAAATTAGCCAAGACTCACGATGAGATCCATCATACAGGAAAGCAGTTGTATGAACAGAAGAAGTGTGAATATGTTGATATCCCGATTGTCAAAAGTAAGAGAGTTAACATCATTAATGAGTATGATGAAAATGAATTGGTTGAACTTGTTGAGAAATATAGGTGCTTGATGATCAAGGCCAAATTCGCAGGAGCAGGGAAGTCCACCATCTGCAAGAACATGGAGAGACTCAAGGGTTATAAAGTGTTGTTCGTGGTTCCTACCAATAATCTGGGTTTGGAGTGCGAAGTGGAAAGCGTCACTGTAAATAAATTCTTCGGTATAGCAGTCAATGACGAGAAGCTAGATAAATACGATCATTCAATGTTTGATGTCATTGCGTTTGACGAGATTTGTTTTAATAATACCTTTGTATTGGCAAAAATTAAGGGCTTTGTTGAGCAGTTCAAGGACAGTAAAATAATGTTGGCAACCGGTGACGCCAAGCAGTTGAGCCCCATAAAAGCACTGACTAACACTAAGAAACACGAGATTTATATGAATGAATGTATTGACAGCATTTTTCCTCATCATTTGTTTTTGGAAGAGTGCAAGCGATTGAAGACTCAGGAGGACAAGGATAAACTTAAAAGTATTTATGCCGACATCTTTGAGCATGAGTTGTCTCTACATGATGTCATCAATAAGTATTTTAAATATACTGATGACATCACAGGAACAGAAAGCAATGTCGCATATTTAAATAACACTTGTAGAGAGGTTTCAAGGCAGATCAGAAAACGACAGGGCAAACAAAATGAGTTTGAAGTCGGCGAGATCATGATATGCAGAGAGTATAGGAAGACAAAAACCTATAAGTTAAATGTGAATTTTAGGTATGAGATAATTAATATTTCCGATCCTTGGATTACCATTGCTAATATCAAAACACGAGAAGAGATTACATTACATATTGGTATCTTGAGAAGTCATTTTATCTTTGCCTTCTGTTATACTTGTCATTCTGTTCAGGGGTGTTCCATTGATGACGATGTCGTGATATTTGATTGGAACCATCATCTGATAACTCGCGAGTGGCTTTGGACGGGAATCACTCGGGCAAGGGATTTAAACAGAGTAAAATTTTACAAATACAGTAGTGATTTAAATGAAGAGTTTAACGCAAAATGCATTATGAATTATTTTGATAGAAAGGTGTTAGCATACAAGGAACAGGATCGTAAAAATGGCTTTGGTATTCCAAAAGAAAATTATGTAGATGCCGAATGGTTGAAGGACAACGTCAATGGCAAGTGTGCCAACTGTGGCTGTGGCTTCGTGTTGTCAATGGATTCTGGTAATATAAATTCTAATCTGACTTGTCAAAGGTTATGTAATGATCTTCCCCATACAAAGGATAATGTCATTGCCTTCTGTGCTTCTTGTAATAGATGTTTCAGTGACAAAATAACATACTGATATTTATTTTATAGTATTATATATATGAGTGAAAAAGACAAGATAATCAGTGAGGTCTACTACGATCAGGCTGGGTTTGGTAGCATCGCCACCACTTACAAAGATGCAAAAAAGAAAGATGCATCCATAACAATGCAAGATGTCAAGGAGTGGTTTCAAGAGAACGTGGAACGGAAAAAACAACTGTCTGGATACAATTCGTTTATTGCCCCTGATATCAACTTTGAATATCAATTGGATCTGTTTTTTATATCAAAAAATGATTTAGATAATCAAAAATATAGGATAGGCTTATTGCTTATTGATGTATTTTCCCGCAAAGCCGTGGTGGTGCCTATTGCATCCAAGCAACCTGCCGACATCACGGCTGGGATCATGGAGGCATTAAACAAAATGGGAGGGAAACCCAAATTAATTTATTCGGATGACGAGGGGAGTCTCAATACCCAAGATCTTGTTGATTTTTTCAAGGACGAAGGGATCCAAAACTATAAAACACGAGGGCACCCCCATTTCGCCGAGCGTTTCATTCGCACGTTCAAGGACATGCTTTTCAAGAGGGTTGATGCAGACGAGAAAAAGGGAAAGGTTAATATACAATGGGTTGATTATATCCCCGAGATCATGCTGACATACAACAGTAAAATGGTTCATTCTGCCCACGATATGACTCCAAACGATGCCCACAAAAAGGGAAACCATCTTGAGGTCAAGATGAAGCTTGAGATGAACAGAATCAAAACCCGTAAATATCCCCCTGTTAGGGTTGGCGATGAGGTCAAAATATACCGCAAAAAAGGGATTTCCGAGAAAGAAAGAACGAGCTCATGGTCAGCAAACAAGTTCACAATTGAAAGGATTGAGCGAAAACTTGGACAAGACTATTATTATGTCCAAGGTGTGACTCGTGCTTATTTGAGATCGGAAATTCTGAAGGTTTGAAAAAATAACATCTAGACGGTTCTAATAGCTGATGAATCTATTAGAACTGTTTAGTGGGACAGGGTCGGTCGGTCGCATCGCCCGTGATCTGGGGTTCAATGTCATTTCATTGGATTTGAAAAATGCTGATATAAATACTGATATTTTGAAATGGGATTATAGACAGTTTGATAGGAACCATTTTGATTTGTGCAAAAACTAGGGGAATTAGGAATATCGAATATGCAAATAGTATAGTTTTAAAAACTATTGAAATTATCAAACATTTCAAATCAAAATATTTTGTAATCGAAAATCCCCAAACCGGATTATTGAAAAATCAGGAGTTTATGGATGAGTTTGATTTTAACGATGTAGATTATTGTAAATATGGATTTAATTGTAGAAAGAGAACTAGGCTTTGGAATAACATTACAACATGGAAACCTAGAGATTTATGTAAAAAGGATTGTGGCAACATCAGGAATAATAAACATATTGAAACTGCGCAGAGACTGCCAAATGGAAACAAGGAAAAATGGGGAGACAACTACATCAAACACAAACAAGAAGACCTATACAGAATACCCCAAAATCTTATCAGTGATATTTTAATGAGTATTTGAAGGGAAACCCAAAAACCCACGTTCAAAATGCTCGCTTGCTCTTAGTGGTATGCTCATATGCTCATGGTGGTATGCTCATATGCTCATGGTGGTATGCTCATATGCTCATGGCGGTATGCTCATATGCTCATGGTGGTATGCTCATATGCGCATGGGAGCATGCTAATTCTGGTGCTGTTTCAACTGAGACCGTGAGCACAAGCAAGCACAGCATCAGGCATTGGAAAAGGTGAGACCTTCACGGCTCCATGTTGTTGGATGCACCGCCTTGCTTCTTGCCAATGGCGATTAAAAAGCTTAATGTTCAAAATACAGTGAGAGATATTAATATTATTTTTAAAATGATGTATGAAAGAAGTAAGACAAATCAATTAAATTATTATCCTGTACTGAGATTATAATCATATTATAATAATAACATGTAAACATTTATATGTTATAATTATAGTTTAATTTTCCCGTATAAGCCGTGGGGGTGCTTTCCTACATAGGCCTTTCCCATCCGCATATTGCCCTCCAATGTCACACAGATTATTTTCAAGATTTGGGTTAACGGTTTTAATTCTCCCTTTTCCATTGGTTAACCATTTTTCGGGGCGAACATAGGGTTCTTTTTTAGACTGTTCGTATTTGTTGGAAATGGGAAAGGGTTGCAGTTTGGATCAAGGGAGAAATTATTGAGATCTTGGGGTTGCGATCTTGGGAATGAAAAAATGTTGGTATGTAGCTTGGATTTTTTTGGTGGGATTTGTTGAGGTGGTATGTAGTTATGATTGTTGTTATTGAATGAGCATAGGGGTGATGTTGAGATGGGGTAAGAAATGAAGAGGGGTATGTGAATATGTGTTTTTTGGTGTTGGATTGGTTGGGTGATTGAATTTGAATGTTGAAAATAGGCTGTTTTAGTGGGCGTATTCAGAATGTGCCCAAAAGTGTGGGGGGGACCCTATGACCGGATGGCAAAATGCGGACGGGAGAGGTCACCTCTAACTCCTGGACCCTCAAAAATCCAACAAAAATGGCTGATATTGAAACCCAACAATATGGAGACAAGCAATCTAGGGCAATGTCAGGCCAACTAACTTGGCAAAGAAGGTCAAATAAGGGTTGGGGGGTCTTTTCAGGGGCAGGGTCCCTGATATATTATAGTAAAACCAGTCTTCCTTGAATCTACCTACCAGTTCCACCAGTTCCAAGGCAGTCAAGTAGGTATCCAGTTGGACTTTCCGCATTTTATTTTGCGGCTGTGACCCCTAAAGTGGAAACCCTCCAGCACGCGACTTCAAACATCAACCCAGCAACTGGCTGTTGCAACAAAACTAAACAAGTTGCAGTTTCTTCCGTTTGCTTAAGTCGCCTGGAAAAAAACACATACACACACACATTTCCAATAGTGAAATCGATTCCCTTAAGAACCAACAGGGAAATGACAAAAAAAAACATTTCAGCAGATGGAAGTTGTCTCTTTCCAGGAGTCCAGGGCAACCAAATCATGTCCGACCACGGGGCAGTGCAGGCAAGATCCACCAAATCTGGGTGAGTAACTCACCAAAGGCTCGCAATTCTCGGAGACCTGATTTGGCCGTTGAGGATCCGTGAAAAAGATTTCTGCGGTCGCATGTGTCATGGTCAAAACTCCTTGAGGTGGTCATGATGATCGACTTATACGTGTCTCTTCGATGTCCTTTGAGGGACGCCCTGGGAATCAGGTAGTCATAGGTGTCCTTTTGGTAAACAAAAAAGGGGCACTGGTAAATTATAATCGAACCAAGCTGCTGCCAGTGGAACCCATTTGTCTATTTTCACCCCAGTAAAGGTGGCTGGTACAGTCGGATGGACCCTCTCCAGGCCCGGGCAGCACGGAGCACACGCGATGCTGCTCCTGACGTGGAGAGCCAACATCACTCCAATGTTCAATCTGCTCGCGCCGTTTTCGCCGGAAGTGACCACAGTGGATCCATTTACCTTTTGCTTTGCAGGTAACCAAGGGAACCACCCGATAAAAACAACCGGGAATTGGATGGCAACCTACTATGGGGGCAACTGAGATTCACTGGGCACTATAAGCGTCAAAGAGAGTCAGAGTGGGGATGTGAGGTACTTTGAAATCAGATCATCAAGTCATAGTCATAAGAGAGAGAGAGAGATGTGTTACTCGGTTGTTGTTTCGCCCCTTGTGTTAGCTGCTACTTCAACTCCATTTTACTTTTTGACTATGGGCCCAACACACAGTCGGAGGGTTGAAACAGAAAATCCCTAAAAAGAGCTCACCAACTTGCTTTGCATAAAAGCCCTGCCGGAAATCGGAGAAGAGACTGGTTGCAAAGCTGGTTATCTATGCGCTTGGCTTTCACTTGCATGTCGAGTAGCTGTCCCCATCCAAGTTCCTTCTTTGACAACATGCAGTGATACCCGAAATTGCTGGCAATTTCAGTGGAATCCGTGTCATAGTAAACAGTAGCCAGGAGAGTCTTTAAATCACTTCCCTTGACATCTTGCCCACCAAAAGCTGGCAACTGGAAGTGGCGATGACTTGGCTTCCTTTGGTTTCCCAAGGGAAACCGGCCGTACCAAGCCTCAAAAAAGCACCCCCCGCCAACCCAGTTCAGTCATAATCAAAACCCGGCTATCAAATTGGTCTAACTACCCAAAACCATGTAAAGAATTCAAAGGGCGGCTACACCTATATATTATATATGTATTATTTACACATCTGATTCGGACTCTATATCCCTCACTGAAGCTTCCCCCTCTCCTGGTGCTTCTGCGCTTGCTCCCACAGGTCACCACCCTTCACCTCAGGCACCGGGACGCAAAGGACCCGCAGCCCTCTCAAGAACCAGGGCTTCGTTCGTCCAAATCCAAGCCACAATCTCCTCAGGGTGTCCTGACCTGTGCTGGTATCATCTCGGCCCACTGAAATGCACGGAAAATCAGATCTTCTGGCTCTGCTTCATTGGTAAGCATAGCTAGTCTACTCAAAATATAAACAGAATCAGAACATTTCCAAAGCTATGTTCTGATTCTGTTTACCTGTCGTCTACTCAAAATATTTAACATCGCCTTGGACGTCGTCCCCGGGAACACGATGGGTTGTTTGTACCGGCCGCCTTCAGGCGCCACCGCCCCGAGGCTGCCGGACCAAAAGCCCCACGAGCCAAGCTACGAGTGAAGCCATGAATACTGGGTCCAGTAGAGAGGGTAGAATAAGGTGGTACCGCTTCTTTTTTCAGTAGTCTATTTTAGTAAAGGAACCCAAAACCCCAAAAAAAAAGCGGAGAAAGGGCACCTAGCTGGGGGACCTAGCCATGAATACTTCTCCATGGCGCTGCGCGCGGGAGCTGCGTGAGCAAAACCAGCCCGACAGGCTTTCGTGGGTCATTTTGGCGGACTATGGGTGTATCCTTTAAGGGCAGCCCTCTTTGGTACGCGTTGAAGGCAAACCAAAATGGCAACAACTCATTTTGGGAACACCATCTTCTTTCCATGGGGGTCCAGGAGGGTTGGCTTGAAGGACAGTGATGGTTTCCCTCAAAAGGACATCTATTTGGATGTCCCTTTTCTTGACCGGACTTAGACCCTTTGCAAAAGGTAAACTTTCTGCTGGCAGGTTGAACTGAAAATGAAGAAACCCAAAAGGCAACACGTTGAACAGGCTAAGTCTGGCAATGTTTTGGCAACACCGGGAGCTGCTAGAAGTGGCACAAAAAAATGGGAGCTTACACGCTGCCCATACTCCCCAGGACCTGGAAAAGGTTGGCACAGCTCCTCTGAAATGAACCAATGGGTGTGTGTTCTTCATTTTTTGGGGAACCCCCTGTTGGTTGGTTTTTAACAGGAAACCAACCAGCAAACCCACTTGTTTGTTTGTTTTGGAGGGGTTCGATTCCTATTGTAAGACACCCCATTTGGGTCACATTCGCAGGGTTTTTAGGCAAAGTACCACCAGGGTGCCCAGGCAAAGGGCTTCCTTGAACAAAAAACAAAACATGGCACTGGTCACAAATAGGGTAACCCCAAAATGGAAGCCTGGACAATGTGGACTCAAACCTGCGGTCCATTTCCTGGTTCAAGCTCGCCCCATGCCAATTTAGTGCAAACTGTCCTCGTGCGGTCCTGACGGGTGTGGGCGCCCGCACGCCTTGCAGCATGTTCTCGGGCAGCCAAACCTCAGCCGCAAACCAAAGTTCGAAGCGCCGGGTTCCAAGCATTTATCTTTGCTCGTTTTCGCATATCCGAATCATTCAACCTCTGTGCTTGCCCGTGGCACGCTTCTTGTGGATTTTGCGTTTCTCCAAAACCGGGTAACAACAAGTCCCCTGTGCAAAGCAACATGGAAGCTACAAACTCGTTCTTGGAGGAAGCTCACTTTCGGGTCCAAGAGTCCTCGTTCTGGGTCAATGTCAGAACAGATTCCCAGCATGTGTCTGCCAAGTCAGTGTTTGGGATCAAAACTGATTGAAACGGAAATAAGGAACAAGGAGGTCCATTGGGGTTCATGGTTCTTATCTAGCGAAATCACAATGGCTTGGTTGGTGTTGACCAGGTTCTGTGTAGCACACGTAGGGGACAACAAGCCAACAAGCTAACAACGAACCAAACCCACAAACCAACAAACCAACACACCAACAAACCGACCAACCGCCAAAGCGACCGACTGACCGACCAACCAAACCAACCCAAATAATTAACAAGAACAACCCAAGAACCCAACAAAAAAAGCAACCAAACCACCGAGCTCCGAAGCAACCAACCAAGAAACCAAGCAACCAAGCAAGAAGGCAAGCAGGTAACCAACCAATCAAACGGCCAGCCTGCGAGCAAGCCAGCCACCCAAACAGCCAACCAGCCATCCAGCCAGCCAACCAACACCAAGACTCCAACCAACCAACAAACGAACCAAACAGGCAAACCAAGCAACAAACAACCAAACAAACAAACCAAGCAAGCAACAAACAAACAAACAAACAAACAAACAATTCCCTCCCGCCCAACTCCACACTCCCCAACTCCAAACTCCCCCAACTCCAACCCCCCCCCCCAACCTGGAAACACCCGCCCTGACCTCCCAAGCCGCAAGCACCCGCAACTCCAAACTCGCTAACCCTGCCTAAAACCCCTAACCCCCGAACCTCCAACCACCCAACCCGTCCGTGGCCCCGCGCAAAGTTGGGCAAAGACTTGAGGCTCAGCCGCTGCTTGGTGACGGTCGTCCGCTCCGCAGTGACTGGCGTCCAGGGAATCATGGACCTCCATTTGTCCCTAAGCCCCCTGGAAAAAATGATAATACTGTGGATGGACAAAATCCTGCACCACGTTGAAACCATGGGAAACCACTGTTTGTTGGTATTTACAGGGAATCAGACCATTCCAGGGCTTCTTAGGTGGTGCAGGATTTTGTCCATCCACAGTATGTCCAATAGTGATGGATTCCCTTGGAAACCAACTGGGGAAGATAAGGAACATTAAGCAAATGGACGTGGCTGTTAAACTCTTAAGACATGGAACCACCTCAATAGTGGTGGACAGAAATCCCCACCTCAATTTGATGTCCACCAATAAAAAAACTTACGCCCATATAAACCCCTCACCATCAGGTAGCCTCCAGTCTGCTCGTCAGAACTATGGTAACCCCAAATGGGTTGCCCGATCGGTATATGAATTGAAAGGACAAACGTCCGGGAAGTCCTGAGTTTCATTTTGACCCATACCCAAAATTTGTCCAATCGGCGTCTCTTCTATTCCTGGTTTGTGGGTGGTGACCACAAGGCAGAGAGGGCCCGGCAAAAACAACATCCCCTGTGATACTCACTTCCGTGGGTTGGCAAAACAAAGTGGATACGAGATATTTGCCACTCACCATCTTGGTTGCTGCAACGACCCCCCTGCAAAAAGTGTCTACCACTTTTTGGGGGTTTAGTGCAAAACACCATCATTTCAACCAAAAAGTTAAAGTCTAAAGATCCGTTGCCCAATAGCAGTCAAGCTCAATCTTCCCACAAAAGCAGCTATACTCCAGTAACTCAGGCATGGATGGCTCTGTGTCACCCCCTTTTGTGGATAATACCAGAACACAACCACGGGCTTGCAAGCGTTTTGCTTCAGGGTAGATGTTTAGCAGGGATCCTTACATTATACACCTGAATATATGGTGGTTTCCCTTTATTTTGGTGGAAAAGCCATGTAAGGACCCCTGTTGAATGGGTGGCCTGAAAAGTCATCTCTAAGTATGCAGGGCCTTTCGGGTGGCCTCAAACAAACTCTCGGGTCCAGTCAAAGTGACGCAGGCAAGCATTCAGCTTCCCTCTGATTGGTTTGGATTGAGTGTTTTGGTGGAGGGGGTTCACCCATTTCCCCTCAAGAACCGGTCAAGTACATCAAATCCCCCAGTTCCAATCGGTTTCCCCCCAAAAAAAACTCACATCCCCAGTTCCAATATCCAAACCCCTGGTGTTCCCCATTTACCCTCGTACATATCAAACCCCCACTTCCCACCACTCCAAACCAACCTGACCATAGGTGTGCTTTTAGGGCAAATAGATGGCCTTTTTAGATGATTAAACCACCAGGTAAACCAGGAATCGCCATCTATTTTTCCACCAGAACAACCAAAAAGCACACCTATGAACCCGACGGCTTACCTGACTCGTCAAACCCCGGCACCCGGTTGTCCGTCGCCTGTGGCAGAGGTAGGCGATGCGATCATCTCAGAGCCAGACTCTGCGCCTCGGACAAAACGTGCTCGACGTCCAACGTCGACACACCCAGGCCGCGTGTTTCGGCGGGGGAATTGAACGGTAAAATGGGGAGAACACGAACTTCTAAATGGAATTGAACTGCTAAAAGTTACTAACTTTTGCTGTGTTCAAGTTCTAGTGGTTTAATACGGAAAACCCACTAGCTGGCAAAAAGTTATCCAGTCCTAACATCCCTTGGCAAAATGCACCAAAGGTCCAACGTCGACATACTCAGGCTGCGGGGGAAAGCGTTGAATGGGAGAAAATGGAGGCTCAAGCCCTCCAAACGGACTTCAACATCAAGTTGATGTGGCCAGCAAAACAACGAGGTCTCTTCAAAGGAAGCGCCCCTCATTGAGCCGGAACCCGGGGACAATCCCCATGCTTACTTACCACCTTTTGTAGGAAACCCTGACATTTGTTTTCCCGACTAGGATTTGATTTACATGGAAGGCTTTCCCCTTACCCAAGGTGGCGAACCGATGGGAAGCACTGGGAATAGCTTCCAGCTGCTCCCCCAAGGTACCCAAAAACGGGGCCCCAGCGCACGGATCGTGCCCTTTTCTTGGTTGACGTTGGGTTTGGGGAGCAAAAAATGATATTTTTTAGCGGTTGAGTGGTTGGGTTTCAACCACTCAACCGCAATAAGCAAAAATAAGCAACATGTGTCCCAGCGACAAGCCATGTTTTGGGTTAGACACTCGATGGCCCCAGAATGTAGCAACATCCGCTGAGATGAAGGCTGACTCTATGAACCCATAACCTTTGGGTATAAACCCCGATGCTTTGGAAGATTGACCATGAATCATGTTTCCATCGTGGCACATCGACCATGGCCAGATGGCAACTACAGGGTTCCGAGCTCAGGTTCCGACACATCTGTGCGGTCAAATTGCAGAGCCAAATGGTCCTTGACTCCTTATGTCTCTGAATCAGGACATTTGTACTATAAATTCCAAAAGCTGAACTAAGGGATCGCCAAGTAAAGGACCTTTACCATGGCTTTCACTCGCTATGCCCCTGGATCGGTGAGCTCGCTATAAAATAGGCAGGTATGATACGTCTCAGCCTTCGAGGATCCACCTAATCGCTTCTCAGCCTCCGGGCGTGTTCGCGGAGAAGTATATGATGGCTGCCTCGGCGTTCGAGAACCCACAATCCCCCCCCCCCCGCCGCGCCTCCCAGCAAAACAATCAGGTGGCATCCCCTACCGCCAGAATTCACAGCCGGAACCTTGGTGCGACTCTGACAATGCACTTGTTGCAACTTTGTCCGTGCGAGTTCATATTGTTCCCTTCTTCTCACCATGTGTCAGTGATCTGCGAATAGGTCTCAAGCGACACATGTACCCACGTGGAGTGATTTAAACAACCAGAAAACAACGTTCCGCAGAGGAAGCTCATGTCGAGTCACGCCTCCTGCATTCTACCGGTGTCTTTGTTTGTTTGGATCAACTCGTAGCTTTGTTGCAATATGTTCCACATCAATGCAAAACACAACTCCATCTTTCCGGGGGGAGGAAAAACACAAACAAAAATAAACAAATACAAAAGAAAAGACAACATACAAATCCCATGGAAGGCCCAACGAGGTGTGTACTTTGGCTCGTGTGTTTGTGGGAGAAAACTCTAGACGGCTCCTCAAACGCGAAACACCTCGATTCTTGTCAGGTGTGAAAAGTTGCAATTTCCCGGTGGTGTCCATTAAACCTGCCACCTTTGGAAATTCCAAAAAGAAAAACGGCCCCGGACACCCTGTCCAAAAAAGCGACAAACGACAGCTGGCAAGCCGCTTTACAGGCCACTGATCTCTTCGGCTTGGAGCGACGGATCTCAATGGCCTCAGTCTTTGACCATTATCAAAGTCACCCCCAAAGTGATGGGTTAAAGGGAAACCACCCCCGGTTTCTGACTTTGATAACCCTGAGAAACGGTCAAAATACGCAAAATAGCGGCCCCGGTCTCAGCGCGCCGCGGGATTTGCAGCTTCTCGCGGCCCTGGCCATCCCGGCTGTCCCGGTTGTCGCTGGTGGGGCTGGTGCCCGTCAGCGTCTCCGGCAGCAAGCCCTGCGTCAGTCGAGGCGTCAGTCGAGACGTCAGTCGAGGAAGGGTAGGGCTGGAACCGCGCGGGCAAGAAAGGGGCCTCAGGTGAGTGCAGCGACATGGTGTTGGTTGACAAAATGTCGACACTTGATTCATACTGGGCGGTTCTCCGCATGGGGAGAGGAACTGCTATGAACAGCAGGTATGAGCCTTATGTGATTTGCGCCAGGGGTAAATATAAAACAGGCCTCGGAAACCTTGCGTTGACAACATGTTGACCCTAGCTGTCCTTTTGGAAAAACAGAGGGCACTGGTGAATGATTGGAAGCAAAGCGAAACGCCGTCTATGTTCAGCCAAGCTGAGCGAAAAGTGCACCTATGGTTTTGACACTTGTCGGGACCGGGCTCCTCTTTTCCCAACGCGGCTTGAAACTGAATGGGTATGCGCAACTTGATTGGTGAGTCACCGAAGTAACCCAAAGCCACGGCTGAGTCCCCAACTGAAAAAGCCGAGCCGCAACGGACCACTCAGAGGGCCCAGAAGGGACCCACCCAGATGGGACCCCTTCACTGATTTGACTTAGAGTATGTGTTCTAAACCGCTCTCTGCAAACCGCTCTAAATCGCTCTAAACCGCTCCAAACTGCTCCAAACCGCTCAAAACCTTTCTCCAAACGCTCCAAACCGCTCTAACCCGCTCCAAACCGCTCCAAACCGCTCTAAACCGCTCCAACTCCAAACCGCTCCAAACCGCTCCTAACCGCTCCCAACCGCTCTAAACCGCTCCAAACCGCCGCTCTAAACCGCTCCAAACCGCTCCAAACCGCTCTAAACCACTCCAAACCGCTCTAAACCGCTCCAAACCGCTCCAAACCGCTCCAAACCGCTCCAACTCCAAACCGCTCCAAACCGCTCCTAACCGCTCCCAACCGCTCTAAACCGCTCCAAACCGCCGCTCTAAACCGCTCCAAACCGCTCCAAACCGCTCTAAACCACTCCAAACCGCTCTAAACCGCTCCAAACCGCTCCAAACCGCTCCAAACCGCTCCAACTCCAAACCGCTCCAAACCGCTCCTAACCGCTCCCAACCGCTCTAAACCGCTCCAAACCGCCGCTCTAAACCGCTCCAAACCGCTCCAAACCGCTCTAAACCACTCCAAACCGCTCCAAACCGCTCCAAACCGCTCCCGCTCCAAACCGCTCCAAACCGCTCCAAACCGCTCCAAACCGCTCCAAACCGCTCCAAACCGCTCCAAACCGCTCCAAACCGCTCCAAACCGCTCTCCGCTCAAACCGCTCTAAACCGCTCTAAACCACTCCAAACCGCTCCAAACCGCTCCAAACCGCTCTAAACCGCTCCAAACCGCTCTAAACCGCTCCAAACTGCTCCAAACCGCTCCAAACCGCTCCAAACCGCTCTAAACCGCTCTAAACCGCTCCAAACCGCTCCAAACCGCTCCAAACCGCTCTCCGCTCCAAACCACTCCAAACCGCTCCAAACCGCTCCAAACCGCCGCTCTAAACCCCTCCAAACCGCTCTAAACCGCTCCTAACCATTGCTCCAAACCGCTCCAAACCGCTCCAAACCCCTCTAAACCGCTGGGTTTCGCATCGGTTAAAACCGAGTCGCCACCAGCCCTCCCCTCACCGAGCACATTCGATCACTCGATCCGCCTGCAGCAAGGTGGGTTCCTCCGGGAAGCCTTCTCTCCTGCGGCTTGGTTGACGTTGGGTTTGGGGAGCACAACAACCCAACAACCCAACCCCTGTCTTGGTTGACGTCGCAAGGGGAGCAAAAAATTAAAATAGCGGTTAAGTGCTTGGAGTTCAACCACTAAACCACAATAAGCAAAAATGTAAAATGTCTCCCAACAACAACCATGGCGAGGGCCAGCATCGCTGTGCGTGTCAGTGGAAGGAAGATGTAGCACGACAAGTGGACTCAGATGCCAAAGGTGGATTTATCCATGGGACGGAAAAAAAGGCACCCCCTTTTCTTGGTTGGTTGAGTTGAAAGGGTACCAAAAAAATGGACAAAAGGGGGCCACTGGGCAACAGAGATGAAATAGTTGCATCAAATTATATATATTGTGGGGCTGTCTCAAAGGGTGAGTAGTGTCCCGTTGAGTCGGAATCTTTCGGGGAAGCAAAAGAAACGGTCCCATTATTCTACCATTGTCGAAGTCACCCCCTAGGCGATAGGTTGAAGGGCCCCACACGGTCAACATGACTCCGGAAAGATTCCGGAGCCCTGTTCAACCAGCGCGTCAAAAGCAGATTGGTTTTTCTCCAAGTCTACCTCAGCTTTTCAAGAAAAAGATCGCTCAGCTCCGAACGAGGGGATTGGCCAAACAAGTCTTAACAGGGATCCTTACATTATACATTGCCTTGCAAATGGTGCTGTCCCTTTATTTTGGTGGAAGATGCCATGTTTCAAATGGGCACAATGCTTTCTAGTTGCCATTGCCACTAAAATGATGGGACTGTCACGAATCGTCACTCACCCGGGGTGTGACCGGGAAAGCTCAACATCCACAAACGACTTTAAGTCGGTAGGGCGAGTTTCTAGGTACCCCCCCCCCGAAAGTACCCGAGAACCTTTAGAGGCTCGAAAGCGGCTTGTGGGTATGGGTCAAAAATAATCCACCAGGATATTGACCGCAGGTTGACTCGTCCATGTTTCCATTTACCGCGCGGGCAACCCATTTTGGGGTTACCCGATTTTGGACCTTGCGCCAAAAGAGCGAGAGCGAGGTCTTGGTTGACGATGGAAGGGGAGCAGAAATTTAAAGTTTAGCAGCTAAGTGGGGATTTCAACCTCTAAACCACAATAAGCAAAAATAAACAAAATGATTCCCAACAACAACCACGAGGCTCTCGCTGGCCAAGTCAAACGCGGCCCGTCAGCATGTCAACCTCCCTCAACCTCCCTCCCGACTCCCGGTCGCAGGTCGCTCCTCTGTGTCACTATGGCGCCAAGCTCCTCCTTGACGATGTAAGACCTGAGACGCCGCACTGCAGGTTGCCGCACTACCGATCCAGTGGGTGGCCCAAAAAACAGAAAACACCTCCTGGACCCGAAATAACTACCTGGCAAAAGTTGGAATCACCATAGTCTTGGGTTGCAACAACCCAAGACTAAGTTGGAAGGTGGAGCATCCAGGCAAACTGCTTCTGTTGCGTGTCCCAAAAAGTATCAGTCGAACCCCACCGCCCAAGTCAACCAGGCGAGAGTTCCGCTCGTGCTGGTTGGCCTCCACCCAAATGGAATGGATCATGGAGCACATTTCCACAGTTCTCCATGTGCCTTCGATGATGCCAGGATTCGGCGATGTTTTTGTCTCCATGTGCCTTCGATGATGCCAGGATTCGGCGATGTTTTTGTCCGCAGCACCACACCTTCCGCAACCTGCGGCTGGACCCGGCACTATAGAACGTGCGCGCCTTAGGGCGCAAAGACGTCTCCCAAGATAGCTGAGGTTGATCTGTTGCCTGCTCACACTGGAGCAGGTCAAGCAGCACACCCACACTCCGGTGAAGTGGCATAAAAAGAAAGCCTGAAGCAAACTTGCGTATGTTGGGCTCCCCTATCTTAGGACACACCCAAGCATATGTTTCCCGCGTCCAAACCTTGCTCTGGCCCCGACCAAAAGGAGCAAAGGCTGCTTGCCGGAAGCAGGCGAAAAAAGAGCTTTGGAAGATCATGTAGCCCTGAAAGATCAAACATGACCATTTTGCCATGAGGGTGAAAACAAGTATATAGGCTCCGGAACCCCTAACTCCAAGTTCATATCGCTCTGTTTTGTCATGGCCCTATCAATACCCCCATCCCCAAAGACTGGCAAGCCTGCAGGACTTATCTAGCCCTTACAAAGCTCAGTAATGTTGACCCCGGATTAATAAACCCCTGTGTATTAATATGAAAGTGTAGCCGGTTGTATTGGGGGTTTATCACTTTTGGAGGGGAACACCCCCATATGAATAAACACAGGGGTTTATTAATCCGGGGTCAACATTAAGACCCTAACTCTTGGGGTGTGTCTTTGGGTGGATTGTAGGGTCCCTCCACTGAAGAACAATTCAACCATTCCAGGCGGTCACAGCCCCCACACATAATTCCATTTATAAAGCGGGAACGAGAAGACTTTTCTTGAAACAAAGGCGCTACCAGAACAGAAATGTCCCACAACCTGCACATCATCAGCCATGACCTAGAGCTATCTGGGGGCCCACTTGTGATCCACCTTGGTCAGCATGGTGAAATCCCCTAATGTTGACCACGGATTAATAAGCTTCACAACTCCTGGTTGTTATCTTGGCCGGAAGGACCCCAGCAAAATATATCTTTTTTGCCTGGTAGTGGAAAACAAATAAAACCACAAAAAAGCAAAAAAGTAAAAAGGGGAACTAATTCTGGGGAAGTTATCAGCAAGCCCAAAAGCCCGAACCAGCAAAAAGTAAACATCCGTGCGACACAGACGGAGCTTGCGTGCGGCTCTGCTCACTTGCCCAAAGGACCCAGAACTAAAAGGTGATCACATTTTGGCACCTCTACTAAAAATGGACCAACATGGGAAAACCCAAAAGGTCAAAAGGTCGGCCTGGCTCTGGATGTTTCCTGGTTTTGTCCATTGCCAGCGTCGGCCCGAAAACGGGTTTTCGGGCCGAAAACGAGCCGAAAACGGAAGACAACGGGCCGAAAACGGGCCGAAAAACCGCCCCCCCGAAAATCCAATGTTCCCCCCCGCAAAAAAACATCGAGGAGTCCGGCCGCCCAAAAGCAAGCCTTTTTTTAGGGTGCCCTTTCTTGAGGAAGGTTCTAAACCAAGGCTAACACCATGAGTGGGCAGAAATTTGCGTCTGCGTCGTTTCTTGTTTTGCTGCTTGGTTCCATGGGGAAAGGGACAGGTCTGTAAAGCAAGCCAGGCGCACTGGGCAAAGGCTGTGAAGAACACATGCATGCAGCTACACTCATTATGCTCTGATCTGAAGTGTCACTGTACTTAGCAGTGGCTTCTCGATTCTAGATTGTGCACATGAATGCTCACGGCCATTTCTGGTTCAGCCAACTGGAAAAATGGAAAGTAGACAGGCCTGGCAAAGTCAAGGCCGCGTAGGCTAGGGATTTCGAACCGGTTCCGGTCGTTTGCCTCAGAAGTGGTTTTTCGGCCCGCACCTGCTTTGAAACAGTCGTTCAAGGCCCCAGGCAGGGGTTTATCAATCCGGGGTCAGCATTACGCATTACTAAGGCCACTATCCAGTTGCAAGGAGGTCACTGAACAAACCATTTCACTGCAATTGCTGCCGTCTGTTTTGAAGTCGTGAAACCTCCTGTGCGACCTGAAAATTCGTCTCTCCCGATATTTTGCAGAAGACGTGGGCCCTTTTTGGGTTCCATGTCAATTTCGGTGTGTCTTTGTTTTGGGGGTTCCCCCAAAGTGGCTGGGTTTCCCTTAACAACAAACAAACACAAAAAAAGATGCCATCAAAGACAGACACGCCCAGTTGCAGGGGAGCATGCTTTTGCCAAAACCGGCTGACATTCGGGTCTGAAAATCCCCAAAAACATCAACCCCCCCCCCCCAAAAAAAAACACTTGGGGTCGAAATTCCCCCCCCAAAGAAACGAAACACCCGAACCTGAGGGTCCAAATTTCCCCAACCGGCAGCTTGGAGGATTTCTGAACCCCCCCCCCCGGCTGTTTACCCCACGCTGGGCTGTCCGGGCACCAGGTGGGTGCGGTAGCAGCACTTGATGCCGGGGTAGCGATCGGACTCCGTGAGCTCCTGGGAAATCTGGGGATCGGGTGCGGCAACCCCCCCGAGCCCCTCCTTTGGGTTGGGCTTTACACTCAGTTGTTCAGTGTCCCTGGAAAAAAAGGGAACCCTTTTTTGGGCTTGGACCATTTTAGTGGGGCAGCCACCAGAAAAAAATGGGGAAACAGGGAGCCACTGAACAACTGAGTACAGGGATCCCAAAAGCAAAAACAGCGTCCTTTTGAAGGCTCCCCTTGTGTTACGGGGGTCAACCCCCCCCCCCCTTTTTTGGGGATTTTACAGGGAAGCCGAAGGGAAACCACACCCTTTTGAAGGGTTCCCTTGTGCTGACTTCAAGTGGTGTCCTTGAAGGACATCCCAGACTTATAAGCTTTCTAGAACTTACATAACATCTTAAAATCATACGCCGCTCTATCACCAGGCAAAGAAAAAGAAGAAGATGATCTTATAATCATACGCTGCTCTATCACCAGGCAAAGAAGAAGAAGAAGCAGGAATGACACCAACCATTTGAACCCACTGAACAGGGACTAACTAGGGAGAACTGGTGGCATGTGTTAACCATACTCTGGTTCTCAGGCAATGACCCCCGTAAATCACGGGGATCTCGAACCCTGCAAGTAGAACCATACAAGTCAAGCCCTTGTCCAAAAAAATAACAAATGTTGTATGGTATCGTATCGTATCCGAATAGCAGGTCTGGGGGTTTTCCAAAGGGTGGGAAACCCCTTACCCACACTAGGAATTGCGGAGGAGGGCCCGCACGGTTTTCGAAGCGGCGAGGCGCTTCCCTTGCTTTTAATTTCTCACTTGCCCCTCAGAGACCTGGACGTGAATCGTGATCATCTTTTGGGGCTTGTACTAAAAGTGGGAACCCAAACAGTTGGAAAACCCCAAGGTCATTTCAGGTCGCTATTGGACAGCGCTTCAAAAATTGGACCTGAACCTCCCCCCCAGTCTGGTTTTCAAAGAACAAACGAGAAATCCCACAAGGTTTAAAGTTCAATTCGCTTTCTGCAAGTGAGTCATCATGTCAAGGGTATACACTGCCTGTATTGGTGGTAGACCACTTCGCCTTAGCTCCCCCAAAAACCCAAGTCGACTCACTCGCACCTGGTCATATATCAAACCTGGTAATCAAAATGGTGCACCCAGAGCCATGCGAATAATTTTAGCAAGGACCAGATATCCGCACCCATGCACCGCTTGGGACTTGACCCCTTACTCGCCTTCATCCGGGTGTGGCTCAAAATTTAATAGCTGGGGTTGCGCAGGTGTTGGTCTTCTTTTCCATCCAAGGGGCCCAAAAAGTGGTCCCACGTTTTCGAGCCACAGCCATCCATCCCCGGGGTTTGAGTGCGGCCGGCACTCGACGGTTTTTGAGCTTTCGGTCCTGCAGAAAGGTGTAGGAGCTCTTGTCGAAGGAGCGCTGCCCGAGCCTGAAGTTGCCCACGGAGGATTGCTACCCCCCGTTTTTGGTTTTGTTTTTTATCGGTGGCTTTTTCAGCAACCAAAAGGAACACCCAGCCAATTTTGGGGCTTCCCCTAAGAACGACCTCAAGTAACCCAAGGAAACCTTTGGTTTGGGAGAGAGGTACTCTGAAAAACAACCTGGGATGAATTCACCATTGCAAGTCATGAAAGCCAAGTTCTCTATGGCGCACCATTTCTCAGTTCCGGTTGTCTCAGGAGCAGGTCGCATCTTTATCTCCAGGGAGTTGGAACCAGCTCCAATCCCCACCAACATGTCTACCACTTTGGGCGAATTGAAACTTCCCTTTTTGCTGTTTCAACCAACCGAACAAGTCGCCCTAAAAAAGGATGCCTCCCATTTGGGGCCATGACGAAACATGGGCCAAAAGGGGGGAAACCAAAATGTCATGTCTTTGGTCCAGCGCGCCATTCACCAAAAAAGAACGAGCTCAGATTTGGATGTGGCTCAAAATTAAACGATCGGAGGGTCAAACCGCAGGTTTTGGTCCATGTTTCCACTTACCAGACTTCCATTTTGGTACCGGTTGTTTGAGCCACAGCCATTTCGGCCTTTCCACTGGGTCACTCCCTCCTCACCGAAGACATTTGAGTGGTAACTCCCATGGCTTATTGCCATGGTTTTAATAGGATTCCACGAGTTATTGACAACCCCAAGTAAAGGGACCGGTCTTTTGCCCATGGCACATATCTTCTAAAAGGTCCTTTTGGGGAAGTCAGTCACGCCAAAGGCCAGCCTTTACGTGGGCTCGGAGCAAACGCAAAAACTTCCCGTGGACAACAGTCTGTCAATCTTGCTAGAACATCCTCAAGGCTGGCCCCCCAAAAGCTTGACAGTGTTTTCTAGACTCTTTAAGGTTTGCCCACGTGCATAGATTGAAGATATCCGATAGGAGTATGCCTCGGGGGTATGATTCCGGGTATGATTCGGGGGTACGACTCGCTGTAGCACCAGCAGCAGCAGTAGTAGGATCAGCAGCAGTAGCAGTAGAAGTAGCAGTAGTAGTAATGGTAGTAGTTGTAGTAGGGGTAGGGGTAGGGGTAGGGGCAGTGGTGGTGGCGTGGCAGTGGCAGTGCCAGTGCCAGTGGCAGTGGCAGCAGTAGCAGTAGCAGTAGCAGTAGCAGTAGCAGTAGCAGTAGCAGTAGCAGTAGCAGTAGCAGTAGCAGTAGCAGTGGCAGTAGCAGTAGCAGTAGCAGTAGCAGTAGCAGTAGTAGTAGCAGTAGTAGTAGTAGTGGTAGTGGTAATAGTAGTGGCAGTGGTAGCAGCATTGATGGTAGTAGCAGTAGCAGTAGTAGCACTAGGACATACCATGGTTACCGTACCTCCCTGAGAGTGGTATGCACCCATGTTCAGCAGGTTGATGACCAGGAAACCAAGGAAACAGTACGCACGGACTGTCTTTTGACCTTTGGAGGACTTCATGGAACTTCCTGCTAAAGGGTTTCTACACTAATGAAGATGCTCAGTTCCTTCTTCCCAAACAGGGAAAGGGTCAAGACAGAACCCAGCTTCCATATATCTAACTTTCCCCGCAAAGGAAACATGGAAACGGACATTGACCTCCACAAAGTGTCCTGAAACGGCACCTTGGTAGAAGGGCTGCCACTCTATGCACGGGACACGTTTGGAATGCTTAAAGCTCACTTCTTGAGTGGACTGGCCAGAAAAAGTTTGAACTTTTTCTCGGTTGCTTTCTGCTCCCCCCCTAAAAGTTTAACTTTTAGCGGTTTAATACGGAAAACCCATTAGCTGGCGAAAAGCTAAAGTCCCAACATCCAAGTCAAATGCACCAAAGTTTTGTTTACCACTAAATAGGTCTTCCCCTTCCGAAAGCTTCAAGTCCAGAACCTCAGGGAGTGAGGAAAACACCATTCTTCTGAACCAAGCTTGGTTGACGTTGGAAGGGGAGCAAAAACTAAATTTTAGCAGTTAAGTGGGGAAAACCCACTAAAACACAATATTATGCAAAAATGTAAAATGTTCTTCAACAACAAGCATGCAAGGGCTATGCACTTCTCTGGGATCCGGGCAAGTATTTGCCATGGTTCGGCTTCATCGCTAAGTCCTCCTCGATGCAGTGCAGAGCTGACTCCTGCGCAGTCCGATTCTCATTTGAGCCCCGCTAAAAACCCAAAGGCTTCGAATGGGGTTGTGGGGTGAGTTCAAAGCGAATGAAAACATGATGCATGAGTAAAAGAGAAGAATGCGTGTACTAGTTGTTAGGCCAATATTATATAGTTCTTTTGAGTGTAATTGTCGTATCCCTGACTGAAGGACCAGACAAGAAAACCATACCTAGGAGAAAAAAACAACACCTCATATTGTGGATGGACGAAATCCTGCACCATTTAAGAAACCCTGGAATGATTCGACAACACGCGCTATGGTTTCAACTTTGGATTCATTTCGCTTTTTGCGAGGTTTGTGGATGTCGTCAAAATCCATCACCTGAAGGGACAAATCTTGCCCACGAAAGCCGTCGGAAGCAAAACAACGTCTTTTCTCCAAACTACGGCGAGGCCCGGGGTTTCGCGAAGCCGAGGGTTGGGGGGGGGGAATCGGGAACGAGGCGTGCAAGACGAAAGACATCGAGGACCAGGAAGCCACTGCTTTTGGAACAGTGCAAAGGGGATATTGAACATGGGAAAAAGCGGGCAAGTTGGGGGGGTGCTGGTTCAAAACAAAGATCATCAACAACATCAAACAACATCAAGAATCACATCAACATGAACCAACAACAACATGAACTGCCTCGGCCACTGCATCACTCACGTATCAGAATGGGCGGCGACCGAGCAAACAGACGCACTGAAGTTGCTCTCCGGGACAGCCGGGATAGCCACTTCAAAGGCGAAGCCTCTGGTTGTCCTCACTTTGGCTAAACTTTTCTTTAACAATATGGGCTATTTTTGCCACCCAACGACTGTTGCGGCAGGCTTCTAAACGTGGACCTTCCGCCCCACAAGGTTGCTCCGTTTCTGGCTCCAAGGACAGCTTTGGCAACTTGCGATTGGGGCCTTGAAATTTGGCATGGGGTGCACTCTGAAAATGAGGTCCCAAGCATGGTTGTTCCGTACTTCTGGGATGTGTTCGACTTGAAAAACAGCGGCGGGGGGGAGTGCTGGCAGATTCTTCTGCTCTTTTTTGGTGTGTGGGGTTGGGCAAACCACAGACTCTCCAATTTCCCGGTGTCAAGCGCTTCAGCAGGGAATGAGCTGGAATGACCCTTATAAACAATCCCCTATGGCTTCCTTTAAGGAAATCCCTAGGTTCATGCCCAAACACTTCATTCCCTACTCAGCACCAGC